ATATATATATACATATATATATATTGATGCCTTACCTCTAAGGTGCTGTTGAGGAAAGTTGGGGTGACGGGGTTTTGTGCTGAGTCGATGGGTGCGGGCCCATAGCTGGTCCCTGGGGTTAGGGGTTCCCCTTCTGGCTCCATGGTCCCCCCCACCCCCCAGAGAACAGTATGGAGTCCCACTAGTAAACAGCCTGCCTACATCGTGCAGCCTCCTCTCCTTCTGGAAAACATTCACACATGAACTCGCACTGAAGTTTTTCCGTGATGGAAAACTTTCCTGGAGCTAATTGCACGGAGAAGGATTTTTAAACCAGCATAAAACACACCATGTATCAGCAGATAAAACCTCATTTAATCTGGAGAATCTGTCGTGGTTCAGCTGTCTTGTGTATTTTCTCTTTAAAAAAAATTTGGCAGCTGCAGCTTTCGGACTGTCTGACCTATTTTCACAATATGTCTGGTTTTAAAGAATGAAACGGAGCGCTCGAATGGTTACATAAATAAGTGGCCTTTATATTCAGGCCCTTGTCCTCACTGCTGCCCCTCTAGAAAAAAAAGACAGGAAAATGCCCGGGCACATCAAGGTGTCCCACGGGTTGGCCTCTGTCGCTTCAGAGGACGTGGCTCTTATCGATCCAGTCGCTGTCAGGTGATTTGGAACAGCAACACATCCGTGCACGTTGCCTTTGAAATCCAGACGCCCATAAACTGCAGTTTTTTTAGGTTTTTTTTTTTAGTGCAAATACTCACTGAAATCGGCCTGGTTTGCGGATCGCAGGGAAAGGCTGCCTCTTTAAGCACCGTTCGTCATACTTTGAGGACGGAGCTGAAGCTTTACGCACCGCGACGATGCTGGCAAGAAGCTTTGACTGCTCCCATGGAGGAACTTGCTCTTTTTAATCGGCGCTCGGGTGTTTTGCAGGGATCCCTTGGAGATGCCAGGCAGAGGACTCCATGTTATTTGGCTTGCAGGCACGCCACGGCTGCGTACGTAAACGTCAGCGGGGAGGGTGACGAGAAGAGTTTCGAGTAACCCACCGGAGGCAAGTTTACTATGTCAAACTTTTACGAGTGCTTCGATCGCAGGCTCATTTCTCTAATTCTGTGCGTATTTATGTGGCGGACACTTTATTCACAGCGATTAAATCACGGTGACTCTGTTTTTTTCTCGGAGGGAAATGCACGCGTGAGCAGCGTAAGCACGCCACAGTAATAATATTTCTTTAAATGCGTTTTATTTTGTGTAAATAGGTATACTATAAATAAAGGTTATGCGGTATCTGCGTACATTTGTCAACACGTATGTGGCTCTCCATAGTGACGCTGTTGTGAATGACATATTTGCGTATCATAATGTGTAATAACACTGTGATAGTAACACCTGAACAATGTTTGTCGGTTACTTTGTGTATCAAATTCCCCCAAATGCTAAACAAAATCAATATACGCCTTTCCGATTGTTATATGTGGTCAACCTGCGCCCCCTGTTGGTCACACCTATCTGTAAATATCCATATCTCGTTGCATATACATGTAAAAAAAATTGTAAGGCAGGATTTATGACAGGATAGGGGGCAAACAGAAGGGGGAAAGTGATGATTATGAGTTACTAAATAGTGGAAAAGGGGCATTAAATAAGCTAATGCTTCTTCCTGCTCCTTTGTGAACATGTTATTTATTATGATTATGATCATTATGTTTTTTTGTTTCTTTTTGTTCTTGTATTGTTTGAACATTTTCAAAATAAGGCTACAATATGTAACTTTTCAGAAACTGTGGGTCAGTTTCTCCAAATTCTCTGCACGAAATGAACGAAGGTCACTTGGATAAGTTACTTTGCATCTCTTGCAAAAACACGTTCCGTCAAATTGTTTCCTTCCACAAAAACAATACACACAGCTATGAAAACTGACATCTTGCTGATGGATTTAAAACACTACCGTCAGAAGTGGTCAGTATAGGCTTCTTGAGGCCATGTTACACACACACACACACACACACACACAAAATAAAAAAGCAAATTGCCTGTCACTGTCTGTGTTCCTGCTGCTCCATCTTCTTGCCTAACACCTGGATAAGTCACTTAAGATCCCTTTTGTATTCTGACACATACTGAAATGTTCTTCCAATTGACTCTGCATAAATGCAGAATGAGTAATTGGAAATCTGCATTTTGAAGCCCAGTGTTCCTAGGTGAACAGCGCGTGCTAAATGATGCAATTTGAGTTTGCAAAACTGTGATTTAGAAAGATATTTGAGTAAGACCAACAGAAAAGGGCAATTTGGAATCAAGCTGTCGATACGTGAGCTCAGTGTTTTCAGCACTGTGTGCATGATTTCATTTGTTAAAATAAGCAAAACTGCTGTAGTTAAACATCAAAGCAAAGGCATACTTTCAAAAAATACATTTTTCTGATTAATTAATATGTACATCACTTGGTGAAGGTGTTTTTTAAGTACCTTGTACACTTATAAGCAGTTTGGGAATCTCCTCAGTGATATATAACACTGTAATAACAACTGCTAATACATTTTTAGTTAATTACACTTTACTGTGCAGAACGGTGTCACTGCTTATTTTGTCATTTTGTAATGAATAATTATATTCTGGTCTGCCAGTCGTTAGTTATGCTATTATTAGTAGTATCTTTGTTACAGGTTTATATGTGAGTTATAAACTGTGTTGCGTGTTGCATCATAGATGATATGAGACAATGACATCTGTACACATAACACTTCATACACTGTGTTCTGTGTTTGGTTAATGATTACAAATTAGTTATTAATTTAACAAGTTATTTAACAAGTTATTATCTGTTTTGTATATTACTGATCAGTGAGACTGACCTTACTGTAAATTCATTGTGTTTTGATTCAATGGACAAATTCCAATCTGAACACAACTGCTTTTGTGACTAAACAGGACACAAACTGCAGTCCCCAGTGTTGTAATGTATGGCGGTCCCAGTACCCCTGCCTACTTATACATAGCATATGACAATAATTTTCTACAAAACAACTGTTACCAGTAAGTAAGCCCTAATATTTATGTTGTTATTAATGTCAGTTTACCCTTTAGTAATAATGGTTATTATAATGTATAATAAGAAATGTAGTACCTTAAAGTATCAAATAATTGAAATTTAGTAAAGTCAGTGTATCATCTGCGAATGTATAATGAAACAACTGAAAAGTGAAGGACTAAGGTAAAGTACTATGAAAGTATATAAGCTGAGTAAAGTATTCAGATTTTTTTTATGAAAGTAAAGTTTTGTTTCTTTAACACAGTTTCTATAACACATAGTATATCATTATTGCCAAAATAAAACCCACAAGTATACAGTCATGTGACACACTCCATCTCATGGAAATCAATGCTTCACTGTATAGTTGAAAAAGCAAAGTCTTGATCGTTTTAGAAACAGAAACAGTGACAAAAGTGACAGTCAAAAGAAAGAAACATCAAACAACCTGAAGTATTTCCATGATTCCAGTAAGTATTATATTTTTTTAAAATACCATCATTAGTCAGATCCACATTCAGGTATTCCAGCCCAGGGTCCTGTTATTGCAGACTTCTTAGATAAACTGTTGACATCGCCGGTCTGCCGTCCTCTTTGCTGTTGAAGTGTTTGCTGTTGCCACATCAAGCTCTGAAGAGACCTTCAGCAAAGCATTTGACTTTAATGTGAGTTTAATGAGGCATTTTATTCAGATATCACCACATTATTTCAAATGACTAATTTCACTGTTAAAAAAGAAAAAAAACTGGCTTGCCTGGGGAAAAAGAAACAAAAAGGAGTCTTCACAACAACCCCAAAATGTCATCAGAGGACTTCCTCTTGCACATGTTGGTGTCAAAGTCCATGTTTCTAAAATTCTGTCTGCATGGAAAGCATGCAAAGACGGAGAGAATGGCTTTGTATGCCAAAACTAGCCTGAGGGAAAGGCTCAGATTTCTGGCCAGAGCAAGTTGGTAGAGGCTTTGCATGCGCTCATGTAACATACAGGCAAAGAGGAGAGCAGCTTCTGGTCATTGATTCAATTATGTGAAAAGTCTGAAAGTTAAACCAGAAATGGAAGTTTAGGCAGAACAGGGATCTTTAGGACACTGGTGAATCCACCGTGGAATGGCTCAAAAAGAAGAAATGGAGGGTTGTGAAATAGCCAAGATCTGAATCCCACTGAAATCTTGTGGGGGATTCGGATTGGGCAGTACATGCAAGAAAAGCCTCAAACATGTTGCAACAGAAGGAATTTCACATGGAGAAGCGGTCAGAAATTTCAAGCAATGTCAGCAGCCAGAGAACACTTATGCAAATCAGCTGTAATACATGACTTCTGCTGAAGTCGCTTAGAAGAATATCAAAAACTAACTGAAGAAAAATCTTTCTTAACAACAGTCTCTGTTTCAGGAAGAATTTTTTTAAAAGCCAGCAGTTTGCATTGGATGTACTTCATCGTCATATTAATCGCTCCGCTGATGGAATCCCAAAAAAAGGTACTTACTTAATGCAACGCATGCCACAGAGTGAAAAAGAAATGTCAACAAAGCAGCCCATAAATATAAGTCTAATATTTATTGTGCGATGGTTTGGTCTATCCCAGCCTCTTTATTTCTGGACCTCCTAAGAAAAAGAACAAAAGAAAAGAAAGTAAGTCATATAAGAAGGCCAAAAAGAGTGGAGCATTTGCAGAAATAAAAGTAGGGCTGCAACAGGTCTTTAAAGACTCTGTATTTCACCACATTCATGCTTTCATCAATTCTGACCTGTTCCTACAGCCTCAAATCACCCACATAGCATGATGCTGCCACCCTATGCTCTGCCATAAAGGCTCGATGAATAAAATGAAACAGTCGACCTTCACTCAGATTGCACCGTCTTCACAAAGAACTTCTGAAGGTTCCTTCTCTTTGAGTAACCAGGTGGGAGGGGGTTTCTCACCTCCCTGACTAGGAGCTACATCAGGAAAAGTTGTGGATTCAAAAACCTGCGCAATTATTTTAATGCTGCGATTTAAAATCCTTACCCTGAGCTTCACAGCATCAGTTTTATTACCTACATGCTGCAGAGAGTGTCCTCCCATCTAGACAGAAATTGCTGCATGGTGAGGGTCACCTTCTTTGATTTCTCAAGTGCATTTAACATGATTCAGCCACTGCTACTGACTGCAGTTTGTGAAATTAGATAGGGCTCTGCCTGATTTGGCGATGTGCAGTGCGGGAGCTCCTCTGGGGACTACACTTTCTCCGTTCCTGTTCACCTTGTACACCTCAGACTTTTTCCATAACTCTGGGTCATGCCACCTACAGAAAGACAGTTCTGCAGTGGTTGGATGTGTCATTGATGGGAAGGCAGAGGAGTAGGAAGCACTAGTGGATTATTTTTGTGGAACGTTCTGGGAGAACTCGTCTACTTCTGAAGGTGAATAAGGCCAGAGAGATTTGATCAACTTCAGATTAAAGAAAAAGTGCTGCGCAGTGATGAGTCACGTTAATGACCCGCAATGGCAACAATTTGGAGTATCACATCAGGAATAGTTTTAATATACATGTGGGGAAATAGGCATTTTAACTGATAATGCACTGAAGGCATTATCTGAGGACAATCACTGAGTTAAACAAGCTGCATAGCAACCCATCTAATGCCTGATAACACATTTCATTAGCTGATATATATACAACAACCCCTTAGTAACCCTAGAAGAAAGACTAGATTACCATCAAAGTTTTTTTAGTAGTGATGTAAGGATCTGTCTAAACATTTTCAATTAGTTGGCACATTGTGGTGAACAACACCACACACACACACACACACATTTCAAAATTCCTACATACCCCAAAATGTTTCCAGGTCTTGATCTCACTGTACAGAGCATCTCCTGGGCAAGCAGTGTTCACCATCTGTCTGTGACCCCTCAGGGTAAAGGTGGGTATGAGTCGCCCGCCATCGATAGCGCAGCTTGCCAGCTGGTCTCTCACCAGCTCCATGGCGTGCTGAGAGGGCAGAATGCTGCTGTAGTCTCCAATGAAGGAAACGCCGTAGCCGACAGAGTTGTAGCCGAGGGTGTGGGCTCCTTGCCAGTACCATCCTCGGCCCTCGTAGATGTTCCCGTCGGAGCCCGCAACAAAGCTTTTGGAGAGGACAGAGACTCTTAGACGGTGTGAGCTGGTGGCGAAGATGTCACGTGTGAAAACGTCCACGTACCTATATCCGATGTCATCCCAGCCTCTGTCCTCCTGATGAAAACGCTGCATGGAGCGCATGTCTGCAGAGCACTGCTCAAAGGTCAGACAGGGCTGGCTGGGCGTGCTAGTGTGGTGGATGAACATGAAGGAGAGAGGCAGCGAGAGGTTGGTGGGTGTTCCTATGTACGGCTTTGCACCCCACATACACCGAGGAACGATGGGTGGGCAATCTGAAACAGATCAGAGTTTGTTACATGTGACGTTATGCTCGTATTTTGATGGACCTTCTTAACTTTCTTATGTAATGGTCATAGATCACACTGCTGTTCTAAAACCTTTCACTTGGTCTGTGTTTTTGGTTTTATGCTCACCCATGTACATATGGACAAACTCCTTCATCCCCTCCTTCACCTCTCTCATCAGCACCTTCTTCTCCTTCCTCCCCATATTTGACAGTCCTGTCAGACTCTGCTGCAGCTGTACAGATTTCACCACCTGTCTGGCCAGCAGCAGCGGGACAACCAACTGTCTGAAGTTCTCCCTGCGGCGTCGGCTGATGAGGCGTGGGGCGGTGTCCAGTCCTTTACCCTCCAGCTGGTGGCAGTAGTACTCTGCCAGCAGACTGCTGAGCTTGAGAGGACGTCTGGATTTGTCAGAAACCTCCAACCCCAGCACGACGCCGTCCATGCCTCCGTTGACTTGAGCGGTGGTGAGCAGGGAGGGGCTGTCCGAGAGGGTGAACACATGAGGAGAGCTTAGGTCGTCCCAGCAGCCGTCAGGTCCCAGACGCCGCGTCACAGTTGGACTCTGCCTGAGGGAAAAGCCCAGATCTCTGGCCAGAGCAAGTTGGTAGAGACCTCGAACGCGTCCTCGAGTCTTGGCGAGTAAACCAGCCTCGATGCCCAGGAGGAGCGGTCTGAGGGCAACAGTGGTACCATCAGGAGTTAGGACCACCCCTTCCTCTTTGGCGTCTTCTGTCACCCTGTGATGCACAGCTTTTCTAATGTAATCTGAAAGGTTAGCAGCCAGTTCAGGCACTCCAGAGAGATCACTGAAAAGGAAGTACTGAATAAACGGGTCATTGACCTCAGCTGCCCGCCGCAGCCTCTTCAACACAGCTAGCGGCTCTGACCCAGGGTCCTCATCTTCCACCTGCTTTACTGCACTGATGAAGTCTTCCATCCGATATGAAAATGAAGCTGAAGAGAAGAAAAATTGTCATTCAAACTAAAGCCCATCATTTCTCCCCCATACAAACCTTCCTTTGTTTGTAAGTTTAAACACAAACTGATTTAACCAAAGGAGACGTGGCGAGGAGAACAGCGGCACTAAAAGACTTTGACTGAAGAAAGGCAAATATTGCCTGCAGTGTTTTTATTATGCTCAACAAGTGGGAAGTAAAGTGGCCAGCCAACTGTTCCAGCAGTCGTCTCGATGATTAAATGAAACCAACAGTTGGAGGAAAAAGCCACAGAAATCTTTTTTCAGCATAATCAGAAATGACTTTAGGCCACGCTACAGCTGACATTTCTCCCCCTATCAGGCTGAGAATGATTTTGCCCATTTCTTGGTCTCAGATGTGAAAAAGAAGAGTCAGAAGAAAAGTCTTACACAAAGCCATTTCCAAAAATACTTTTCTTTTCTAATCTTTTCTTTTTTTGATTGGTTGGTTGGTTGGTTTTTAGGGCAGACTTTTCTTACTTCAGCAAGAACATGTCAAACCACATCCTGCATGTGTTACAGCAGCACAGTAGGAAAAACCATCCCGGTGCGACTAAACTGGCCTGCACGCGCCCCAGACCTGTCACCCTCCAAAAAACAAATGAACCACGGTAAAAACAGCAAACATGACAAAGGAGGCCCCAGCCTCTTGGGCAGCTGAAATCTTTATTTTGGCAAGAATGAAAAAAGATTTTCTTATCAAAATGATAAAAGCTGATTGCCTCCTTGGAAATGTATGTTTTCTATTTGCATAAGATTAGAATCAAGTCCTTAAACTGAAAGAAGTTTGGACCGGTAGACACGCAAGTAGAGCGAGGAATTAGTCAACAAGGGAAAGAAAGAAAGAAAGAAAATGAAAGCAAATACAGTTTCTTGATCTGAATACATGCATACAATCGAGCTCATAAAACAGGTGAAAACAGTGAAGCAACCCTACCCTCCACACACGTGCTGACCAACAGCACCAGAAAGACCAGGCTCAGCTTCCAGCAGACTCTGTCCATCTTGAGATGTGAACACCTTCAGCTCCGCACTTCAAATGTGTCTGCCTTAATGGCTCTCTCTTATTTATCACATGCAGTAAAGGGAGTGGTTATATAACAGTTGTACACACACACACACACACAAATACACAGAGTAGATAGGCCTCAGTTTAATCTGTTGGTGTGGCCATCTGAGCAATGTGGGAAACTGGCACCTGTAATATAAGCAGCATGAAGTGGTTTGTCCTCAGCGGTCAAGGTCTTTCCATGTACCTCACAGTGATCCACTTGGACATTTTCGAGAATTTCTCAAGTTCTGTAATAAATCTCAGTCATCTCGTTTTGCGTGCCGCAGCTTCTGGAAATAACAGCAGCCTGCAGAAGACTGTTCACTACAGTACAAATCACTGGGAGTCCACTGTGAGGCAATACACATGTTCATGTTAGTGTGGAGAAAACACACAGCGCTGGGCTGCAAAACTGTGGAAGTCCCCCCCAAAAAATATGAATCACGTGTGTTCTCAGCAGCAGCTGCAGAAATGCACAACAAAGATCTTCATGTTCACTGAGGTTTATATGGTGACACGATCATTGCTGGAAATCATGTCACAGTACATGTGCACGCACTGCAGAAAGTCTCAGACTGGTTTTTGCAACTGTGCCATGATTACAAGAACAGGAAGTGGAGGTCCAAGTGTAAAGTCCAGTGCAGAAAGTCTGGGATGTGGATAATAAAGGTCAGTAATGTAAATAAAAAAGATCTTCTAAAAGCAGGAACGAGAAGGACATGGTGGAGTCAGTAAGACCAGGGTAATTATTTAAAATTAACTGTGCTAATAGTAATATTATTATGAATAATAATGATAATAATAATAGATGTGAAAAATTAGGTCATGTTTTCGGGGGGAAAGGGAGACGTCAAAATGGTTATGGTCGTTAATGCCAGATGAAGATGGCTTGTTAAAAAAAAATATAGGTAAAAAGTAAGGAAAGCAGGGTGCAGTGTGTTGTTGCACTAAAGAGTCCGGCCACTAGATGGCGGTATGCAACTTAACTGTTGGTAATGTTGAGCTATCAAGGAAGGAAGAAGACGGAGAGGAGGAAGAAGAACTGACCATCAGCTGATTTAGCTCTGACAAGGTGCGTTTATGTTACACAGACGTCTCTGAAAACGAGTAAACCTGCTACAGAATATTATACTCTCTGTGTAAAAGCGTAGCTTTTCATTCCTGCTGTTGTATGTGTAGGATAATCTTTATCGGAAGTGCCGGCTAACAGTTGTAGCGCGATGGCTAACAGCCAGCTTTCGTGTCTGTAGAAACTCAGCAGGTCCATTGTGTTTGCAAAAAGCTTGTAACGTGTGTCTGTGTGGTGAAGTCATACTTGGAATTACATTTTATAATGAGAGGTCTGTGAGTCTGCGGCCACACATTTATTCCCATGTTATTAGTGCCTCCTTTTTGTAAATGTTTAGCATATCAGTATATAAAAGCTAAATTAGCACCCCTGCGTTTCACTTATGTATATTGCCTTTACTGAACATCGCAAGTTGTATTCGCATGAAAGGCTAGTCTCTAAGATTTGACACAATAAACTTGTTTCACTACTTGAGGGAAAGCACACCAGGCTATGAAAGAGGATATACTGGAAGCTGGTGACGTGCAACCAAAAAGTAATCAAATGACAGAAGAGCGATAGCACACTACGCTCAAATATAAATGCTAGCAACGTGTGCAAGCGATGTCTCATGGTCTACATAGATTCAACACAAACGTATAAAGCCTTTGCCGGTTCTCCACTAGCTGTCATGAAAGTGCGCTCCATAATCTTGCCAAAACAAAAGTCTGCATCAGGACATGTAAACCACTGACTGCCATTACTCCCCAACAGAAAATGGACACCCGTTTCACTCGAGGGAAATCCAACATCCTTGAACGCCCTCTGACCCGACCCAAGACTGAAGTCAGTCTGAGCGCCTTTGCGCTCCTGTTCTCCGAGATGGTACAGTACTGTCAGAGCCGCGTGTACTCCGTGTCGGAGCTGCAGACACGCCTGGCAGACATGGGCCAGAGCGTGGGAGCCAGCATGCTGGATGTGTTGGTGCTGAGGGAGAAGAACGGGAAGAGGGAGACCAAAGTGTTGAACATGCTCCTCTTTGTCAAGGTGAGCAAATTTAATCACACGCACGAGTAACCTTTTTTATTTTCAAACTCTTAACAGTCATCTTGCTTTTAGGTTAATGTGTGGAAGTCCTTGTTTGGAAAGGAAGCTGACAAGCTGGAGCAGGCCAACGATGACGACAAGACGTACTACATCATAGAGAAAGAGCCGCTTATTAATGCGTACATCTCCGTGCCCAAGGAGAACAGCAGCTTGAACTGCGCCGCCTTCACCGCGGGCATCGTGGAGGCCATCCTCACACACAGTGGCTTTCCCGCAAAGGTCACTGCCCACTGGCACAAAGGCACCACGCTGATGATAAAGTTTAACGAGTCAGTTATAGCCAGGGACAAGGCTTTGGATGGCAGATAAGAAAGATCGGAGGGGGGGAGTTGTTATGTAAATCTGTACAGGATGAGGAGAAATCACGGAGGCCCAGGCTGGTGTTTGTATCTGAAGTGTCTCCTTGTGGTAACTGATGAGACAGGGTGACATTATAAATGGATCACTGTGCTGTACTGAGCCTCATAAGCAGAAAATATGCACCTAGATGGTTTTGTGGATCATCTCCTTCTCGTTTTGCCTCCTGATGTGGTTTTATTTTGTAGTTTTTCTTTTGTCACATATTTGCAACAGACAAAAGTTTAAAGCGTAAACATACTGCATAAACTTTCATGCCACAATGGTCACCAGAATGTAAAAAAATTAAACAAAACATTGGGGCTCTATTTGACAGCCCTTTTACACCATTTTTAAAATATTTGATTATTATTGTTTTAGTCTACAAGCTGGCTTCAGGAGGCCAACAAAGTAGAGTACCCCTGGTTATGATAATATTAAATCATAACCAACAATGAATCACCACATGACTTGTTTTTAGGGACAAAAAATTTTAAGGAGACAGGTCCAAGGTTTTCCCTGCAACCCTGAGCTGGATAAGTGGGATCAAGTGGATGTATGAGTCCATGGTTTGTTTTCTATTTCATTCCAGCTCAGCCTCAGCTTTTGTTTTGTTTTGTTTTTAAATGCATTCATAATCTGGGGCTAGTAATTCTGTGCTAACAACACAACCACCAGGCTACATCTTACAAATCTATACATTTCTTGGGCCCAGAAATTTTGCAGTGCTAAGCTGAGTTGTTTTTCTTTAAACAGCATCTGTGGAAAAGAGGAAGTAGTTTAGTGTTATTTAAAATACATTTTTGTATTTAGTGTCTTGTCATCGAGTCATTATGTAACACAAAGACGTTTACATGTTACAAATAAAAACTGGAAGGTTGTGGTTGTTTTTGATGACATGGCTGCTTTTAAGCAAACAAAAGCTGCTTAGCTTATCCTAACACAGACATATTTAAAACATGCGCTGAATATTATAATTTATATTATGTCCAGAGGACATATTTGTTACACTGAGGGAAATAAATGTGGTCATTTCCAGGTCTGACTGTAATGTATATAGCAATAACTAACATTGAGTTTATTTCATTTTTTTTAAATAACAAATCACAGCACTAGTTAATGTTAGTGTGAAGAAAGCTCCCCATTTACATGAACTAATTCAAATCTTCACGATAGATATGATTCAACCCACTGCAGCGCAGAACCTTTAATATCTACAGTGTGTTCTAATCTCTAGTAAAATATTGTGTTCAACAGTAACAAACGCTGCACTGAGGTCTATCAGGACAAGCACAGAGATGAGGCCACTGTTAGAGGCCGTAAGAAGATTATTTGTAACCTTCACTAAAGCTGTTTCTGTGCTATGATGGGCTCTGAAACCCGAATGAATCTCTTAAAATAAACCATTCCTCTGCAGATGATGAGTTAGCTAAATGACCATTTTACAACTCTGTAGTTTCAGCCTGGGAGCACATCTGTGTTCCCAGAGCCCATCAGAAAGCAGGCTAAGGCATGACTCCTACAACCACACAGCCTTCTTTTGTCCCCCTGTTGTATCTGACATAAGCCATAATTAACCTGAAATGGACAGAGACTCATGGGAAATTGTGTTCCAAATAAGCCATGCGGCATTAAATGCTACCGAGGAAAGCTACGAGTATAGGTTTACAATTCATGCATTTGTGTACCTTAATAAAAATATGAGAAGTATAAGTAAGAATTGATTGATTGGTAACTTTATTTCAACATGTGAACAATATACAAGAAGAGGAAATTGTGGTTGTTTGATCTAGTTTGGTTCTGGTGTTACCCAATATAACAAAGACATTTTGAATGCAGAAATCAGAAGTTGTGGTTGTGTGAATAGAGCTAGCATCCCCCTTTTGTTTCAGCCTGTATGCTAAAATAAGCTAACAGTCTGCTGATTGCTTCATATACAGACATGAGTGATATCTCTATACAGTGGCTTGCAAAAGTATTCGGTCCCCTTGAACTTTTCCACATTTTGTCACAT